GGCTCCAACCTCCAAGTCACGCTTGTCCAGCCATGCTCCCAGAAGGAAAGTGCGGACAGGGCAGCTCGGCCTGCTGGTGCGAAGCCTCTTAGCCTCCCACCAGGCTTCCATCTCCTTCAAACAGCAGCACTTTCCCCATGACACACACTGGCATTTACTCTGCTCCTGGGAATTTGCTTCTGAAATTGCAGTCAGTCGGGGAAGTTGTGGGGGAGACAGATTCCTCTACATCCAAGTCTCTTCAGAAAACCCCATCTTTCACTCGGTGGAACTACTCCTCTGTGTTTCTATCTGAGTGGCCTGAAGCTGACTGTTGTATGGGTTAGTGGAGAGCTTCACGAGCCACAGCTCTGGTGGCTGGTTTGCAGCCTTCCTCACCCCAAACTCCCTGATGGGAGATGAGGCTTTGGAGCTTTCCATCAGGGAGGGGAGAGAGAGAAGGGCAGGGAGAGGAAACAGCAGCAGAGCCCCCAGCATGACTACGTTACAAGCCTCAGTGCTGGCTTGCAATCGATGTCCTCTTTGGCTGTCCAGATGCTCTTCCGACCCTCACTGCTCTCCATCATGCCTCCCTTCCCCTCCCCCATCCCACACCCCTGCTCTCCGACCTCCAGACACCAATAAGCTTTCTTTGTGTGCACTGTCACTCCCCATCCCCCTTACCTGTCATGTTTCTTTTAAACAACATTACACAAATCCGGAGTCAGAGTCCAGCCTTGGGTTTCATCCCAAGTCTCACAGGCAAATACACAAAGTAAAATCTGCCACCTTGCTTTGGGATTTCTGGTCCCTCTTGCCACCTAAACATTGGGCGTTTGTGTGCAGACAATGAAGGTCAGGGGTTTCTGCCAGCTCCTTTCCTGGACTTTGTCTCCCGTGAATTTCTAGAAGCCTTTGCTACTGACCAGTAGCCTCTTCTTCCTCCGTCGTGGATACTCTCGATGTATTAATTTTGGGGATACACCTGGGGACTCTTCTTTCTCTCATCTTCTCCAGTTTAAAGACCTTCTGACTAAATTTACAAGATGCCTGGCAAGTACATTCTTACTGACGTTTCAGTTACACTTCATCCCTGACCAGGAGTCTGTCAGCTGTATGTCGAGAGCTGCAGATACTGTAAGATTACCTTTGGGGGTGCTGTCAGCCCCCAAATTCCTTACCAGGTGACTAGCCTTCTAGTGGTAAGTGCCCCTGTACTCGTCATGACCATCACTTGCCATGCTGGCATCCCTAAGACAGCCTACAAATTGCTAGGGTACTACATGCAGACTATGAAAACCCAAGGCCCCTGCTTGCCACAACAGCCAGAGGCCTTCCAGGGAGTCCTCAATTAAAGGGTAAACTATGTCTAACACACCTTTAACGTTACATGCATTGGAACTCTCTGAAAACTGGAAACCCACCTAAGAGGTCCATTGGCCACAAAAATCCCAACGTGCCCCTTTCAATCCTGCTGGCTGACTGAGTGTTTACTGGTACCTCAGCTATAACTCCTGTCCCGTTTCTTTCTACAGTACAAGAGAAATAATCATATGGCAGGTGAAATGATCCCATTTCATTCTATTTACAAAACCACAGAGAAGATGACTTTCTGAATCTCTGCCAAAGAAGAAAAATAACAAAGAGCCAATGCACAGGGGCTTAAGAAACAAAAAGAAATGGGGCAGCTAGGTGGCGCCATGGATAGAGCACCGGCCCTGGAGTCAGGACGACCTGAGTTCAAATCCTGCCTCAGACACATAACACTAGCTGTGTGACTCTGGGCAAGTCACTTAACCCCAACTGCCTCATCCAAAAAAGAAAGAAAGAAAGAAAGAAACAGAATTAAAACAAGAGCAAGCTATACAGACACCACAGGGAACAAAAGAAGGAAGGAGCACTGCTGCACAATGACCCTCCCAATCACTACAAGAGGGCAAGGAAAGGGGAAGATGACAGCAAGGGAAAGGAGCTGAGGGCAAACAGACAGGGTCTGTCAGCTACAAGAAGAGGTGGCAGTTCTGATCATTAGCCCAGGAATCAGCGGAAGAGAGGGAGCTGCTGTCCAGCAAAAGCAAAGCCAACTGCCTCGTCTTACGTCTCTGCACCCTCCGGGTTAACGAACTGCAACTTCCCAAGGGCCCTGGGCCAGGTAGCAAGTGTTGGGCTAAACAAGGATGAGGCACGGCTGGGGCATTCCCAAGAGAGGGCCTGCCACCCCCAAGAGACTTTTTATGAGTCAACAAGCTCTCTTGGAAAACATTCATCCAATGTTTCTTTTCAAAAGTAGCTTGTGGCTATCCTAGAAGCTGCACAGCTGCTTCTAATGCCAGGCCCAACCATGGTGTTTGGGGCGGGCTGTGGGCCCCAAACCTGGGCCCTCTAGCTTCACATTCCCTGGGGCACACAGAGAGGTCCCACAAAGTTTTCTCTAGGCATTTGTATTTAGGGAGTGAAAACCTTGCTGTATCTCACTGTCTCCTCTTTCTCCAAGTCAGAGCAGGCCAACTGTACATTCTCCCTCTCCCGACTGCAGGGCTGCCTCATTTCCACAGGGCTTTCTCCCCCTTAATCACCCTGGATGTGCACTCCACCCCTGGGACTACTTCTCATACCGGAAGTGCCTTCCTGTCCCTCCTGACTCTCCCTCTGATTGGTCAGTCCCTCGTTCTTCATCATCTCCAGGCTCCAAAGGCCTTCATCTACCACTCCGCTGGCTGTGACACTCCCTTCTACCTGTCAGCTTTCCTTTCTCCATTAGAATGCAGGCTCCCTGAGGGCAGGGACTGCCTTTCTGCTTCTGACTGTGTTCCCAGAGCAGTGCCTGGCATACAGTAAGCACTTCATAAATGCTTCCCGACTGGACACAGTGCTCCTCCTCTTCACGGCTGTCTTCAGTGATTACTTTCCATCATTCCTTGTGCTAGAGGATTCACCTCCACCAGCAGCTGCTTCCCTTGCTATTACCGGGGGTCTGGAGTATCCACGCAGGGTTCCTTCTACTGGCCATGCCCTGGAGGTCTTGCTCTCCTCAGGTGCCATGACCACTCCAGTTACGCAGGGACCTCGTTATCCCCTCAAGCTGTGCGTCCTCCTGGAGGAGGCGGCCTGGAATTCTGCTCTTGGGACTCTCGCCTCCTGGCCTACTTCTCCACCTCCCTCACTCCTGATGCCACCAGTGTTCTCAGCACAAACCCATCTCCAGCTGACAAAATCTAAGACCCACCCCAAACACCACCCTCCAGGGCACTCTCCTGATGCTTCCAGTTTACACATGATCATTCCTGTGACTTTCCTTGAATACAAACAGCCAGAAGGATCCTAACAGTTTGGGGCTACTGAGCGCAGGGGCCCACAGAGCTGTGAAGATGACTGTTGTGTATAAAGAATACATTCATGATAAAAACTGGAGGAGGAGGCGAGAGGCTAACGCATCAACAATGGCGACAAACACAGATGGAAACCCAGTGGGCACATAAGCACCCTCAAGGTACAAGAACAAGGGGAAGGCCTCCAGGAGGGCGACTCAATTCTCTACACAGGAAATCTGATCAAACAAACAAAAGTCACCGAGAATTAGGAGGCGGCAGAGACAAAATCTCTGACACAGAGGAAAACATAATCTATCATTCAGAATTTTACAAGACGATCTTAAGTAATCAGAAAAGGTCAAAGTATCTTCCAAATGCTTTGATTAAGAGTATGCTACATTGGTGGAGTTGTGAAATGATTCAATCATTTTGGAGAACAATTTGGAACTGTGCCCAAAGGGCTATAAAAATGTGCATACCCTTTAACCCAGCAATAGCACTTCTAGGGCTGTATCCCAGAGAAATCACACAAGTGGGAAAGGACCCACATGTACAAAAATATTCACAGCAGCTCTGTCTGTGGTGGCAAAGAACTGGAAATTGAGAGGATGCCCATCCACTGGGGAATGGCTGAGCAAGTTGTGGTATATGAATGGAATGGAATACTATTGTGCTGTAAGAAATGATGAGCAGGCTGACTTCAGAAAAACCTGGAAAGACTTGTATGGTCTGATGCTGAGTGGAGTGAGCAGAACCAATACACAATAATAGCCACGTTGTGCGATGACTAATATTGACAAACTTAACCCTTCTCAGCAATACAAGGATCCAAGACATCTGCAGAGGCCTCGTGATGGAAAATGTTATCCATGTCCACAGAAAGAACTATGAAAGCTGAACTGCTATTTTTTTCTCTTCTGTTGAGTTTTGTTTCCTCTTTCTGATGGTTCCTCCTATTGGTTTTAATTTTTACTTACAACACCACTAATGTGAAAATATGTTTATAGGAATGTAAATGTATAGCCTATATAAGATTGTGCACCATCTTGGGGAGAGTGGTGGGGAGGAAGGGGGAGAAAAATTTTAAACTCAAAAGCATATGGAAGTGATTATTGATAAATCAAAATAAATTAATAAAATTTTTTTTAAAAAGAGTATGCTACATTTCTAAAAGATCTTCAACAAAAAATGGTGAAAATGCAACTTGGGCCCTTTGTGGTAAGCTTCAGTTATCTGAATAACTGGTTAATGACGATGTTGGTGGAACACTTCCATGAGACTAAGTTTAACAAGGTGTTACTGTACAAACACACTAGCAAGAACATATTTAAAGACAAATGAATCGAGGGTAAACAAAGCCAGTCAGTGTAACATAGGTAACAGCAAATATAGGCCTCCATCATTTCACAGGTCCAGAGTTCCTTAAGAAAGACAATTTCACATTAATTTTGTTGGTATCAAATACTTGTTCAGAAAGGACATTTATCCAATAGCTTGGTGGTGATAAAAATCAGTTTAAACTATTAAATGAATCATGAAAGAAAACCCAACCACGTTATTTTTTAAGGCTCAGTCTCCACGTGGCTAGTGATGGGTATCTTCACTAGCTAGGTCTTGACTGAATTCCTGTCAGAATTATGTGAAGAGCAATGCCCCCTTTGTGTGAAATACAAAGTTAAAACACGCCTTTGGCACACTTTGCTCGCTTACCTGCAGGGATTATCCCAATTCTTAGATTGCACTGGACTAATGATGCTTTGGGATCATTCTGGTCTATACCACAATCCTTCTGTGTCCTTCCAACGAGGCCATGCAACACCTCACTGAACATGCCATCTCCACCGACACAGACGATTCTGTGGGAAAGCAGAGAACACCGGAGAATTGCTTGAATGAACCTGCCCCAAAGAGGCATGGGTCTGAAAACAGTCCATCACCCTCCGAGAGCTTGGACCAGCTCATTCCAGGCCCTTGGAAAGCCGGCCCGACCAGCCTCTCCAGACCTTCACTCATGCCCCTCCAGGGCAGCCATGCGGCCTGACTGTCCCCCTCGTAGGCCTCCAAGGCCTTTGCTCAGCTCCCTCCCTCTGCCAGACTTCTTCCCTATTCTAACACCTACCACTGCCGTCCCTGACATTTCTACTTGTTAAGAGGCCAACATCATCTGAGGTCCAATTCCAGGGCCACCTCACCCCTGACTGGTCCAACTCCCACAGTAAATGCTGACCGCCCACACTGCTCTGAGGGCTCTTGGGCTTCCACCACTGAGTGAGCTGGTCCCCTTTATCATACACACACACACACACACACACACACACACACACACACACACACACACACACACACACACACTCTCTCTCTCTCTCTCTCTCTTTCCTATGTGACTGCAAACTTGTAATGAATAGAAACCGTGTCTTAAACAACTTGAGATCACAGACTTAGAATAGGAAGGGGCCCTGAGGTCATCTAGGCCAACGGCCTCACTGTGCAGCTGAGGAAGCAGGCCCAGAGAGGTGAAGTGAACCGCTTAAGCTCACCTAGGGACCAAGTGTCAGAGCCTCCCAACCCATAGCCACCCCACTGTTGCCCTAAGAAGGGAAGGAGGAAGGAATCGTCCCAGCACACACACCCCTGGAAAGGGCCCCCACTGCTCATCTCTCTGAGACCCCCTCACTTACAATTCGGAGGCAGGGACCAGCTATGGAGCCTTGGATGAGTAACACAAAACCGGAAGCAGGGCCCCAGGAGGCTCCACATCATTCCTTTGACAGTGAGAACCCCTCGTCTCCCCCCATCCCATCACTGCCTCACGAAAAGGAATCACAAAGTGAAACAGATGGGCAAAGTACAATGTGTAACTCCATGTTTCTGGGATGTACTTTTTAAAATCAAGAGACAAGAACCCTTACTTACCCATCATATTTCTCAATATTAATTTCAAATAAACTGTCCTTGGCATGGTTAGCATGTTCAGTAACTGTGGAGAATAAGCATGTAATTTATAGTTAAGTTCTCATGAGAAATAATCAGCCATAAAATACCATTGTATGGTATTTAAATAAAAACAAGGAAACAATGCTTTAGAATCTGGCTACATATTACACCGCCAACAACAGTAAGTGGCGTCTTTGGCAACAGTAGTAGTAAGAAAGATTTATTCTTCAATACCCGGCCTAGGAAAACTCACAGCTAAACCAGGAAGCACAAAGACCATCTTCTTGTCTTTGAAAAGCCCGAATCTAAACCATCAGGAAAAGCTGCTGTTTGGGAACCTCTTCTGTGGGGCAGGAGCTTCTCCCCAAGAGGGATCCCAGGGACCTACGTCAGGTACTACCTGGAGGAGAGGACCTGCCAAGTGAGGGGGGGGACCCGCAGGCTCTGCTGACAGAGACAGCCCTAGGAGGCAGAGAAGGCAGGGGCTCTGGTGGAGGGCAGCAGTCCAAGGTAGATGGGTACGGGCGACAGGCCCAGGTCTCGGGACACCCCAGCCAGAGCTCTTTACGACATCACATGGGAGGTGATGGTGAAAGGGGGCAGGGCGGCAAGCCTTTAACCTTTCATTTCCAATCAAGGTGCACAGCGCTATACAGGGGGAGGGACAACTTGATTTACAAATACCTTTACCTTGCACAGATATGCAGTATGGAAAAAGAGCAGCACCCAGAACTGACAGGCGCAAGAGTACAGGATGGACTGCTCTGGGAATTAAACAATGCTTTCCAATGCACCATACCTGTCTCTAAAAAAAAATTCCACTTTTAATAGCAATATTCTTTCACGATGCTAGATGGCCGTGAGTCACAGAACACCACAGTTACCAAGGACATAAAGCTGAAGGCATGGTGGGTGGGAGCAGACTGCAAAACGTTACAATGCAGAAGTGAAAGGGAAGCCAGGACTGTCTGGCCAGACAAGGCAATGGGCAGCCAGAGAGCAGAGGGAAAGCTTGCTGATGCCGATGGGAGCCCGCAGCCTCCGCAGCCTCCGGGCACCTTGACACACTGGAGGGATGTGCAGAAAAGAAACCCAGGATGAGGAGGGGTGGATGGGCTGGGGCTGACCCTGAGGGAGGGAAGACCGGGGCTGGTGGGATTGCTGAGGCTGCAGGGGAAAGGATTTGTTTTGGCATCACGAAATGTTCCAAAGTTTGGGGCTTCCCGATGGCTGTGAAGAAGGTGAGGCCTTGATTCTGCACAATTCCTTCTAGCCCTTTTCTCTATGTACTTCCTCCTCTAAAGAGATGAGTCCTTCCCTCTGTTTACTCCTAAACATCAACCAGGTTCTTTCTGGCAAGCATCCTGCTCTCTGGAAAGACCTACAACCACTCCCTTCATTTCCACTTTAAACAAGTTAGATCAAGGGAATGCTGCCAGACACAGAGATGTTTTAGCACCACATCTCACAGGCTTCATGCTTTGCTTATGGATAAGACTGAGAAGTGTGGGCTAGATGATCCTACAGTTAGACGTCTTTGGAACTAATGGAACGACTGGACCAAAGACATGACATCAACGGGTCCATGTCAACTTGGAATGAAGGACCACGTCCTTGACCTTGTGTCAACAACGTGGATGTGAAGGGAAGCCTGGGGAACATTTTCATCCCTTTACAGGCTGGCTCCATCTGCCTTCTTCAGCCAGTTTCACATTACTCCCTTCCTCTTTCTGTACACTCTAGGAAAACCAGTTTACTTACTGTTCCCTGACCTTGACACGTGCTGGGGACGTGCTCCCTTCTCCTAGAGGCCATGTCACGACCCAGAGTGGGTTCTTCAGATGCCACTGGTGTCTTCCTCTTCAAGCTGGATTACGCGGATCTAAACCCTTGCAGGAGGGAAGGCACTGCTCCATTTCTGGTTGTTTATCGCCAGCATCCATGACTCTTGCATGAACTAGGAATTTCACAAATACTGACTGCACTGAATGGAGAGCTAATACTTCAAAGAGAGGTGAGATCTGAAAAGGTCTCCAAAGGCCAGAACCGAGGGCTGAACACAAGGGAACATGAAGCTTAATAGTGAGAAGATGAAGTGCTGAAGTCAAGCTCCCCAACATAACTGCACAGCAAAGGCAGAGCGCGTGTGGCCAGGGCTTTCAGCGAGCTGCCGTCCAACAGGCTCCACAGCACAATGTGGTGGCCACCTTCTTAGCACAGTGTCCAGAAGGAAAGGGGGAATGTTAGCGTCACATTCAGCTCTAGTGAAGCTAACCCTAGGACACTGTGTTCAATTCTAAAGACACAGACAATGTGGAGCTTCGCCAGGAGTTTACGCAACAGGTCAGCTGAAAGAACTCTGCCTCTTCGGTCTAAGACCTCCACACAGTCTTCCAGTAATTACAGGGCTGTCCTGGGGAACACGGAGGGATCCCAGTTCCTTTTCTGGGCCTCACAGAGCAGAGTATGAGTCACTGGGTAACAAGACACAGAGGGGGACTCAGGATTGAGGCAAAGAAAAATGTCTTCACAACTAGAGGTGGCTGGGCCGCTGCTGCTGCAGGAGACAGGCACCATCCATCCCTGGGAGCCTTCAAACAGAGGAGGAGTGAGCGATCACTCGCTAATTCACAGGAGCGTTGTTGGGGGGCCTCTTGACCCAGCACACTCTGGACTGGGGTCGCCTCTGAGACGCCTTCCAGCTCATGATATCATTCCTTGGTCTCATGAAGCCTATCCACAGGTCTCGCCGGATGACATCCTTTAACCTGTTTTTTTTTAATCCATACAACTGCAAGCAATGAAATGTCTATTCTGTTTAAGATAATCATCTTGTGAAGCTGCTTTGCTCACCCATACAGTAGGTGCTTAATAAATTCTTGCTGAATTGAACCAAGTAAGAAGAGCTCCCATTTCCATAGCATGCCAAGGTCTGCAGAAGGCTTCCTAGGCGTTGTCTCATTGGAAGGTCAGGACTGCCCCTGGTGAAGGGGTCATCCCCAGAGAGATGACAAGAGAGCAAGGGATCTTGGGGGCCACATTAATCCAAGTGTTTTTGGAGGGCTCTACCACTCACCATGCCACACACAGAAGTTACGTATAAGCAAACCTTCACATTTATAATGTGCTCTGTTGAATTCAGTAAAAGAAAAGGATGAGCCTTACCGATGACGTCAGCAGTGACAGAAGCTAGCTTAAACAGCGGGGCGACTTTCTGTTCGTATATTCGCTTGCCTTGTCTTTTTCCTCCAAAGGGATTAATATACACAAGTAAGTGCTTTGGTCTACATGCTACAGGGAGAAAAGAAGGAGATCTAAATCACCATGGGTAAACAACAGTGTAAATCCAGATAAAAGAGGCATTCAGAAAATAATGACATCATAATTTCGGAGCCCTGATGCTGCTTCTTCTGAAACACTATCTTTTAAATCTCTAAAACAATGGGAGCGCCACCTTCTTCACATGAGGGCCTCCTCCACAGACGGAGTGCCTGATGAAGAGACAAGAAGTCCAGCCACTGTTTTAGAGTCTCCTGTAAGCCCTGAGTAGTTAAGTGACTGGCCTAGGGTCACAAAGCAAGGATGTGTCAGATACAAGACCTGACCTGAACCCAAGGACACCGGTGTCCAGGTTCAGTTCTCCATCCACTAGGTCACCCCTCCTCTCTGGGCTCCCTTTATCTAAAGGATGTCTAAAGCATCTGCTGAACACAACGACCAGTCCATTGGACAAGATCAATGGAATAAAGAAAAAGGAAGAAAGAAAAGAAGAGGAGAAAAGGCAAACGATGGCCACTACTCGTCAGGCATTCCTTCCACCAACCACTCTGGTGGAAACTGACTGCATAGAGCAGGCACTTCTTAAATATTCGTTCAGTTCACTCAAGGGCCAAGCACAGAACTTGCAACCAAAAGATGTGATTAAAAAGTGATGAGCAAAAGGACTTTGGAAACAAAGATGTGAGGAAGAAAGCGTACTGACAAGAACGGAAACAATATAAGATGAGAGCAAAGGAAAAGGGGGACAAAACAAAATTTTAACATAAGCAACTTAAAAACGAAACCTTTCAAATCACACATCACTAATGGGACTTTTCAAAGTCTATTGGACAATGGCTAACTGAGCTGTGGCGTGTGAAGGTAACGGAACACCACTGTGCTTGAAGGAATGAGGATTACTGCCAATGCAGAGAGTCTGTGGCCACTTGTATGCACTGAGGCAGAGCAGGCTGTGCAGAAGCCAGACAACGAGCTTGCCCACGGCCCCAACACCAGACAGGGAAACAGCGGCTCAGAGCAGGAAAATGACTTGCCCCAGTCTCTTCCCCGGAGCTGCCTGATGCATACCCTTAAAGTACACGTCTGCTCCAGAGTCACCAATGACATAGATGCCTCCACTGGACACTGACCACCCAACGCCACCTGGCCCCAGCCAACCCTTCATGGGTGCTGCCTTCTACACTCCGGTGGGCCTCTTCCAGGCCTTTGCTTTCACTGTCCCCCCGCCTGACCTGCCGTCACTCCTCACCTCCTTCCAGACCTGGCTAATGCGCCACCCTCTACAGGGAGCCTGAGGGAGTGCTCCACACGGCCACTTTTTGAAGGCCCCCTCCCCCGTCCTATCCACCATACTGGGGAAGATGAGCCAAGACGGCGGAGGAGGAGGAAGGAGGAAGGAGGGCAGCTCAGACCCCCTACAACTCCTCCAATAACAGACCTAACAAGAGTGGCACACCAAATGGGATCAGGAATCCAAGGAGGAACCCCAGTGGGTTTCCAGCCCAACAGACAAGGGACCAGAGCAAGAACTATCGCCCTCTCCCATTGGCAAGTGACCCGGGTTGCCTAAAGTGGATCACAGACTGGGCCTCACATGCCAGAGGTAGTTTTTTTCAAAGTTCAGCTTAGTTGCCAGCTCTTTCATGAAGCTCTCTTAAACCCGGTCCCAATTCTTACTGCTCTCTCCTTCCACAAATTACTGGGATTTATTTACCTGTGTGCATCCTGGAGCTCCCGTATTAAAATGTAAGTTCTTTGAGGGACAGGACTTTTCTTTTGTCTGTGTTCCATCAGGGCAGCACGCCGTAAGTGCTTAGATATTTACTGAAATAGCCAGTCTCCTAAGAAGCACTTTCAAATCTGCCGTCCAAGCTGCCCATGATCTCTCCATTGCCAAATCCAATGGCCTTTTTTCTATCCTCCTCCTCCCTGGCCTCTCTGAGGCCTCTGACACTGTGGATCACTCTCTCCTCCTTGATACCCTCTTTCTTCAGTTTTCAAGCTGCCCCTCCACCTCCTGTTCCCCACCTCCCTCTCTGATTGCTCCTTCTCTGTCTCCTATGCAGGAGCCTCCCCCAGATCACACCCTCTAAGCAGACGTGGCCCCCAGGGCTCTGTCCTAGGCCTTCTGCTCTTCTCCCTCTAGACTACTTCACTTGGTGATCTCATCAGTTCCCATCCCATTAATGCCCATCTCTACGCAGATGAATCACTGATATTCTCTCCAGACCCAGTCTCCTGAACTTCAGTCCCCTATCACCAACTACCTCTGGACATCTCAGATGTCCTGTAGACATTTTAAACTCAGCGTATCCAAAAGAGGACTCATTCTCTTTCCCCTAGATCCTCCCCATTCCTACCTTCCCTACTAGTGTAGAGGGCGACACCACTCTCCCGGACCCTCAGGCTCCCAACCTCGGAGTCAGCCTGGACTCTTCACTCTCTCCCACTCCCCAAATCCAATATGGCGCCACCTCTGCAGGACCTCTTGAGTATGACCCCTCCTCTCCTGACACCGCTGCCTCTGCTGCAGGCCCTCAGCATGCTGCACGTGGACTACTGCAGCAGCTTTTCCTAGTTGGTTCTCTGCCTCCAATCTCTATTGACTCTAGTCCGGCCTTCACTCAGCTGTCCGTGATCTTTGTAAAGCAGAGGTTTGACCAGGTGACTCCTCTCGCCAGCCCCGTCCCCAGTCAATACACTCCAGTGACTATCCATAGGCTGTTTAGGGTCTGTTATAACAACCACGCTGCTCCTCCAGTCTTACACCTTCCATGTACCCAGGGACGCTGGCCTCCTGGTCGTTCTTCACATGAGACATGCCATCTCCCAACATCTCCCAACTGGGGGGCTATTTCCCCATGCTGGGATTCTCTCCCTCCTCATCTCCACCTCCCGGCTCCCCTCAAGTCCCACTTAAAATTCCACCTTCTGCGGGTCCCTTTCCTGGTCCTTGTTTGTACACAGTTGTTTGTGTGTTATCTCCCCCATTAGAGTGCGAGCTCCTCGAGGGCAGGGCCTGTGTTCTGGACTTCCTTTTATCCCCAGTGCTTGGCACACAGTAGAGAGCAGGGTCTCTATTGGGCCCTTCTTTGTAGCCCCAGGGCTTAGCAAAGTGCCGGGAATATACTAGGCATCTAATAAATGCATGTTAACTGACCTGACTATCCAATCCAGCCTTCTCACCGCGGTTGCACTAATCTTCCTTCCTGCACAGATCTGGTCATCGATGGCTCTGCTGCCCATCCTTGGCCAGGCACTGCAAGCCCTCCAGTCTGGAACCACCCTCCTTTACTCATCTTGTCTCTTATTACTTCACCTCCACATACTCTCAAATTCAATCCAATTCTTGTCCGTTCCCTGAATACACCCTAAAAATCTCCTAACCCTACGCATTTACTCAGACTGCTTCCAGTGCCTGGAATACCTTCCCCTCCCTACTCACCGGATAAATTCCTATTTGTTCTTTAAAACTCAACTCAAACGTTTCCTCCTCTAGGAAGAGAAGAGCATCCCCCCAAAATCTCACCATGGTAATTTTCTCCTTGAGGCCTTATTTCACAGTCTCTTTTGTTACTCTGACATACTGATTTAATATTAATTATATATATTATATGTTGTGTCTTTCCCCCTACTAGATATCATATCCCTTAAAGAAAAGAAACAAGTCTTATCTAAGTTTATTAACTCCTCAAGCAACTTGCATATTCTAAATAAATATTTGTCTAAGTGAGTCAGTGGAGCCTTCCGCTACCCACAAAGATAGCTCTGTGTCTACAGAAAATGCCAGTGTTAATAGCAGCTTATGAAAATGAGATGTAAGAGTCTCCTTGAGTCTCTTCACATCAGTGTGCACAGAATGATGTCCTTCATGGGCTCTGAAAGGCCAAAGGTAAATGTTAAATAACCACAGAATGAGGGGCCAGGGAAGTGGTGACTAAACCCAGAAACAGGTGAGGTGCCTGGGAATAAATGACAGGAGGGATGGGTAGGAAAATCAAAGTTGTAAATGCTCAGAGGCTGAGATCCAGTAGGAAAAGGGAAAAAAGTCAACTTGAAGGGGCCTTCCTGAATAAGGCTCCTCGCACTGTAGGCAAGAATGGAAAGAAGGCCAGCTGCCCTCATGGGGCAAGACCATGAAATGCATGGGCCCTGCTGGACCATGATGCCCACAGGTCTGAACAAGCCTCATTCATTTTCCTCCGGAAACTGCAAATCACCAAAAAATCATCTCCAGCCTACCTGACAGCCTGGAAAGGGGCCTGCCGTGTGTCTCCTCACCTAGAGTCTGCCAGACCCCAAGCACGGCCTGGAGAGGGTCTCTTGAACGATGACTTCAACCAGCTTGACGGAAATCAAGCCACCCTGCTAAGGTCAGATGTCAAGGAAGGGAGGAGGGGCAAAGAAAGACCCTCTAAGGAAGGGTTAGTGAGGCCATAATTAACTCCTCTCTTTTCCACACATTTAGACGCCAGGAACTTACTCAGCTTCTCAAGCAACTCTCTGAGTGTCTGTATCCACTGGTTACAGAGCATCTCATCTGTGCACCAGAAGGTCACGTGACTGCACCGCCAGTGGTGACGCCGTGCTCTCTTTACATAGTACACTACAAAAAGAAACACATTCATCAGTCCCAAGTGGGTGAGCCTCAGGAGTGTGCTGCATTCACAGTGACTGGCCAAGCTGTCAAACGTCTTCAGCTGCATGATGCCCAGAACAAACAGGGGGCATTAATAACCACAGGAGAAATGCTGTGATACAAAATTATGCAAAAGAGAGAGGGCAAAGCATTCATACCAGCAAGTTTTAGGAAAGATGGCCCATGGGACACTAAGCAAGTCGCCCTTGCCCCCCCCCCAACCTCCCTTCAACAGGGGCTGCACATATGTTAGAGAAGCCGGGGGAGGCCCCAGTACCCTAGGAGGCCAGGACTGCCGCAGTTTTACCTGTAAAAGCATAAGGCTTTGCCATCTTTTGCCATTTCCCACTATGATAGTGCTTCTCATCAATTTCTGTTTCTTCTACAGTGATAATCTCAGAAACAGGAACAGAGCAGGTATCTGTGAAGGCAGAAAAATAGTAAGAAAAGCCAATGTTAAAGAGAGAAACTGACGAGCACATTCAAAGGAGAAAAAAGCCAACGTTCTAGTTTTCATTCACAAGATATTGGAAGCCAAAAATAAGGCATACACTATACTTCCATTTTCATGACAGCTAACAGCATGATGACCCCAGAATCAGCCTTCTGTTACTTGGCAGGATGGAGGAAGAAAATGCCCTGGTTTGGAGAAGTTTAGCACGTACAGTGCACACATTTCCAAAGAGTTGGCAAGACGTCGCCCCTGCACAAACAGCTTCTGGTCTAAAGGTTAATAGAGAAGTTGATTATTTAGGAATGAGAGCTCAAGCAAAAACATTATTGGTCTTCTTCAAAAATCTATCTTAAAAGCTCCGTGCTCAGAAGGCATCCATTTAGAGAAACCCAAGGAGGGAAAATGGAACTTTCAGAGGAGACTCAAGAGGAAGGAGTCCTGAGGACATGCCAGGGCTGCAGGGCCTGGGCACAACTTCTTATTATGATTACTAACATTTACAACGTGTTCATTGATACGGACACCTTGGTACCAGGGCGGAAGAGAAGAGGGCCAGCCTTCCAAGCTTGGGGGATGGCCAATGGAAAGGTCCAGAAATGGGCCACGGAGACAGAAGATGGAGTGGCCGTCTCCCAGTGGTGCGAGACTGTGGCATCCTGGAGGGAAGTGTAAGGTAAGGAGACTGGAATGCAGGTCAGAGGCAGGCTGTGAACGACTTGAAAGCCCACAGGGCTAGGGCTGTGGTGACCCAATGAGACTTCTGCCTTAGGACAATCATGACTTTTTAGTGAGTCAGAAGAGACCCTCACCCAGACAAAAACCTCAGAATCACGTCTGATTTCAGCTTCTTCCTCACCTTCCCAACTCATTCATTTGCCAAGTCCAATCACATCTTTCCATTCCTACCGCACCCTCTATGACTGACCCCCCCCTTTAAAATCATAAAACCTAAAAATCATAAAACCACAGAAATGTAAGTCACTGCAAAAGTCTCCCAGTGCAGTCAACCCCTCAGGACACCCCCAAGAGAAGCCTGAGCTCCCCTGGGACTGTGGTACAGACAAAAGCACAAGAGGCCTGCCTGAGATGAGGAGCAGCCTTCGCCACAGGCCCCTCCTCCCCCATCCCTCCAGGGAGCTTTGGTAAAAGGGGACAGAAGAGTCCCTGGTTACCACGGCAAACACAGCCCAGAACTGGTGGATGCCTTCACCACGTGACTCGCAGATTACCATCCCCCTCCATGTTGCTGTCCTCTGCTTGATGGACTGACCTGGGCCTACAGTAGAGCTCTCACCTGCAGTTCCCCCGGTCCCTAGGATTCCCCATTATCAGCCCCTCCCCTGACAATCCCCATCCCCCCTCCACCCTCCTGTTCTGCCAGGCCCTTTCAGGCTCTTCTTTACCCCTAAGCCCTCCCATTTCTCCCCAAATCTCTTCCCTTCTTCTTTGAGCTCGCTGCTCAGGGCAGAGGGCAGATAAGAGAAAGGAAGACTCAAGACTGTCTGGTTTCAGCTGGTCTGACAAGAGGTTTGACACAAAGTGTCAAGTCCACAGAACTACAAGAGATACAGTCAGTTAAACAAACCTACTTCTCTAGGCCCTGACCCCTGCTATCTCAGGGTAGGAGAGTAAAGGAACTTAAGTACAGGGCAGACAAACAGCTCCAGGAAATACTAAGAAATTGTGGAGAATGGCAGGCCCCGGTGCCCCTTTTTCTTCTCCAAACTCCAGGAATCCTGGGACGGTCTTCAGGATTTCACTGCCTCCCTTCTATGCCCTGCCCTGAGAATAATAGGATTTGAGCAGCAGGGCTCGATGGGCCTAGTGAGGCCTGGCTAGGAATCTCGCTTCCGATAGTATTTGTCTTCTGTCAAGTGAAGGCACAAACCAATATCTCTCTCTCTCTCTCTCTCTCACACACACACACACACAAACACACACACACACACACACACACACACACACACACACACACACACACACACACACACACACACACCCCATTCCCCAAAGAGGTCAAAGGATAGGAACAAACAATTTCTCAAAAGAATCACAAACTACTAAAAACCACCTAAAAGAATACTCCAAATACATCAACCAATCATAGGAGAAATGCACATCAGCACAGCCTCCAGGTTTCCCTTCATGTCCAGCTTATTGGCAGAGGTGAGATAAGACGGGACAGCCAACGTTGGAGGCGCTGTGGGAAGCAGGGATGCACGGTTGTTGGAATTATGAGAGGCTACGACGTCTCTGCCCTTTGAGCCAGGGCCTCTAGTACTAGTCACATGCTCCGAGGTGCCGTATAAACCCCAAAATGCGTACCACCCAAAGTTTAAGTGACTTGCCCAGGGCCACACTGCTGCCAAGTATCTGAGGTGGAATTTGAACTCCAGTCTCCCTGCCCCTGCCCCACAGGGCTGCCTGCCAGCTGTAAATTTTGAATCCTTGGAATTGATTTACCCAGGGAATGAGGGCAAAGGAGGAGCCAAGAATAAATCGAAGGGCACGAGTCCTGACTAAGGAAGGGCTCTTGTGCCTTTAAGAGAACCGAGAAGGCTAGAAGAGAAGTCATCGAGAGCCCAATAGAAAACTGTATCTCAAGGTTTAGAAAAGAACTTTAAACCTCAGGGCGTTTCCTCTCAAAGGTATTTACTGTTGCTGGACAATAGGGAAATCTGTTTTTTTAATGTTCTGGGAGCTGCATGTTTATAACGTTTAAACCCACAAATTCACATAATTGCCAAGCATTTATTAAGCCCCTGCTCTGAGTACAGAATTACTCTAGAAGCCAAGGGAACGATAAACATGGACTACTTGATTCTGGGCTAGAAGTTTGGAGGAACTGAGTCTCTCACTGTAAAGTGTATCAAGAAACCTAAGAATTCACTCACCTTCCTAAACTACCCCCCAAACTGTGAAATGCAACAACAGAATCAAAGTTCCATTTCTCATGCAGGTGGCACAATGGCTCAAGGTACAGAACTTGAGGACCTGGAGTCAGAAGAGTTACATTCAAATCTTGCCTCATATTTACTAGCTGTGTGACCCTGGGCAAGTCATTAACCCCTTCTAGTCATCCTCACTGGTAAATGGATCACTTTACAACAGGGAAGCTGACAAAAGCAGGTGGGCCTGTGAGATCAAGACTGTGCCCGCATCATGAAATCTTTGGCACAGTCTTAAGGAATGATACTGAATAATGACACTGAAGAGAAGAGGGCAGGTATGTAGGATAGTGATGGCGTGAATTCTCACATCCTCCCATGACATCCGGCCACCACTCTGCCATCCCGCCAAACACGGGATTGACTCCACAAAGCTACAGTGCACCATGTATTCTAAAAGGAAAACAACTGAAAACCTACAGCAAGTCAAAAGAACAAAACAAAGTGCTGACCTGCAATGCTGCTGTTGTGGCCATGGGGTGCTTGGAATCCCAAAATGCGGGGGTATAGGGCAGGGGTCTGCCTCAAAAGAATTTGGCCACTCGAGCCTTCTTTCGGTCCAAGTACACCAACGGAAGTGGGCCAGACTCCTAGTGAGTCTGCGAGGCCAATACAAGTGAGCCAGACTTGTACTGAATCTGCACATTTGAGGAGGGTAAGGTTAATATTTTATACAGAAGACTGTGGGAAGATCTAGATGGGATCTAGGAGCTGCAAGTAGCCTGGGGTGGTCTGGAGGTAACAGAGAAGGGGTCTAGATGCGATTAAGGAGTATTAGGTAAGCTATTGGGCCAGATGCCGCAGGCAAACACCAGGGATTGGGATTTTCCTTTTAGAGGTCCAGAATCCAAAGACATGGTCTTTCCTTTTTAGGGGTTCAGATCCCATTTCCATCACTGCCTTTAAGGCGAACCATCCCCACTAACAGTATCTGAGAGCTCTGTCAACTTTTACGCAGTCCTTACAGATAGACTTTGTGTTTTCACATTAGCCTAATTTCCCGTATCCCATAGATCACAAACATTTTTAAAGAGAAAATAGAAAGCAGATGCATTCAGAGCACTCTCAGTGATTGCGGAGCGAGGTACAGTGTAGGATGCCTCTGCACAGGGCTGGGGACCTCTCGAGGGCCTTCTTGAATTTCCTGACTGTGTGTGTGTGTGTAGGGGGGCTGTGGGGGTGACTTTCCACATCTGTGGCCATGGTCACTGTGTCTAGTGTCCTCCTGGCTCGGCATTCTAGGCTTCTCTGATTCTGCACGTTCATCATTGCTCACAACACATTACTCTCCAGGCTGCACTCCGGCCTTTCTCGGGGCTGTATCCCAGACCTCGGGAGCCTGCTGCAACCCTGCCATTTACACCCTCCAGCGCAGATGTCCCCTAGGCCAGAGGTACCACACTCCTCTCCAGGCTGCACTTCCGACTTTCTTTACTATGCTCCCATGCTAGGGATCCCCCTTTCCAGCTCCCTTGTGTATATTCTGCCCCCTCCCCATTAAAATATAAGCTCTGAGGGTAGGGTCTGTCTTTCTTTCTGCTTCTGTGTCTATTCCCAGCACTCAGCACAGAGCCTGGTACACAGTATAAGAATTTAATGAATGTCTGCTGACCAACTAGCAAAAAGAGCTGCTCTAAACACTCTGTCAAATTTGAAAAGCAATAAGGTAGAGAATTCACCTCCCTCAAAGTATTTGATAAGATGAGCTCCTGTGCCCCTGTTTCAAACCAAGCCAAAGGCAAATTTCCTTCAAATCCCTTTTTACAATCTGAGGGGTGAGGAAAAAGAGGCCGTTACAATGGCCAAAACATTAAGTGAAACCACTTGCACCAGCCTGAGGGGTCTGCCCCTTCAATCTCTCTGCCCTAGGAGGCCAGGAGTGGCAGTGGGTGGAGCCATTATTTACCTATCGCTTAAGGGTTTGTAAAGCACTTCACAAAAATGATCTCAACTTGTTCCCAGTGACAACCTAGTGGGCAGGTACAATTACTAATCCCATTTTATACTTGGGACAACTAA